AGCCGAGGAACAACAGCCGTGGTACGAGAAGATATTCGGTGGCAAAATGACGCGAATCGAAGAGGAGTCGATGAGCGAGGACGATGTTGCTCATTCTCGTCTTCTGGCCCATGATGATGATTATTCTAAATAGATTGCTGCTACCATTCTCCCTAACATTGTTCCTACATCTCTCATATTGCTCTCAAACCTTCCATATAACAGTGATGTAGAAGTCTAAACTCTCCCTCGTTTTATGTTTCAATCTTCTTGTTCTATGCACTTTCTCTCACCCTCAAACAATATCCCGCTATTGTATTCTCTCCGTTTTTTTCTTGTTAAAATGTTCTGCCCCCCATTCCCCAACCAGCCTAATTTTTTTTTTGATAATTGTGATGATGAGTTGTGAACATAGACATCCCCTTATGTACCCATCCCCACCCCGTTTGCCTTCCATTATTTTGATAATGATTGTAAAAAGTTATTTTGTGATCTAAAGGACCCCCTCTCCCCCCATTGCCATGTTTTTCAATCGCCCTTTCTAGTCTATCTTGCTCGTATGCTGATACGAGTACCCAAAAATAAACAAGAAGAGATTTGAAACTGATCACACTTTATTAAGAAAACTAATAATCGACGGACCAAACTTCGCTGTTCCACTTGCATTGTACTATGTTCCGCCCGTATTTCTTGATCATCTNTTCAGCAATCGTCACATATTCCGAACGGCACTTTTCAGAGTTGAGCCCCTTCTGAGCCTTCCACGCGGCATACTTCTTCATTCCAAGCTCGTTTCCTGCTGGCACAGCTGAAAATTGAATTTTTTAAATCAGTAATATCTCAAAAACCAAAAAAGATAGGAGAATTTTGTCAACTGGAAAAATGTACAAAATGTTAAAAGCTAAATTTTTGCAATTGAAAACTTTTTGATAGCATTTTTAGTTTCTGAGATATAAGCGCTCAAATTTCACGACTTTGAGCACGTATATCTCGAAAGCGAAAAATGCTATTAGGTTGGCGGGAAAGTCTTTGTCACTTTTTCAATAGTTTATTTCTCAAAGAAAAAATAACCGAATAATTAATTATATTGTCCATCATTATCAACAACATGTCTCCGACGTTCCCTCAATTTATGGATTCCATTGCGGTAGAATCCAGCCGGGCGTGAGGCAAAGTATTGTTTGAGTGCCGCTTCGACCGCTCCACGGGAATTGAAGCTTCTTCCTTCGAAGGCACGTGTCATATCGCCAAATAACCAATAGTCGGAAGGAGCAAGATCAGGAGAATACGGGGGGTGAGGGAGAACATTCCATCCATATCCCATCAGCTCCTGCTTCACTTGTTTCGAAACATGTGGGCGAGCGTTATCATGTTGATAGTACACTTTCTTGTCTTTCAGGGCCGAACGGTCGACTGCTTTCTTGAGGTTTCGTAGTTGAGTAGTGTAGAGGTCTCCAGTTATTGTTTTGCCCTCGGGCAGAAGTTCCCAGTAGATGGGGCCGTCCACTCCCCACCACACAGAGAGCATAACTTTTTTCGGATGAAGGTCGGGTTTGGGGACATCCTGTGGGCTCTCTCCTTCTCCAACCCACTGGGATTTCCTGTGGTGATTATCGTAGAAGACCCACTTCTCATCTCCGGTTATTAGCCGGTCCAGCCATCGATCGCCCGCGTGGAGAGTGAGAAGAGTAATCGAATCGTCGACTCGGCGGTCAAGGTTGGCTTGAGTCAGGTGATGACGTATGAATCGACCAAAAAGTTTTCTCATTCCAAGAGACTTCAAACCTTCAAGGACTGTGCTATGGTGAACTCCGAATGTGACAGCTAGTTCACGGCTAGATTGAAATGGATCCGATTGCAATGCGTGCTTCAGCTTGTCCAAATCCAACTCACGGGGTCTCCCAGAGCGATCCTTTTCATCGAGCGAGAAGTCATCTTTTTCGAAACGATGGAACCAATTGCGAATAGTATTGTAGTGAGGGGCATGTGTGTTGTACACATTCTTCAAGAAAGTTTCCGAATCCTTCATCGTGGTGTGAGATAGGAAGAGGTAAATCAAAACATGTCTGATGTGAATAGCAGTGGGAACAAACATATCGTTTCAATTACAGATGAGGAGCAGGGAAGGAGATGGGGACTTGTTTATATGGAAGGTTCTTATCACCTTGTTATTCACTAAAGTCGATATCATACACAGCCTCCATATACGAGAACAGTGATTAAACAAACAGAGTGACAAAGACTTTCCCGCCAACCTAATAGAACAAATTTGTCAACTAGAAAAATGTAGGAAATTTTATGAGCTACAACTTTACAGTTGACAGTCTTCTGATAGCACTTTTAGTTTGTGAGATATACGCGTTCAGCGAGAGCAGATGACTTCTCTGGCTCCAGGCTCTGTTTCTCCTTTTGGGAAACAGCTAAAAAATTTTAAATCTTCGAAAACCTTTAAAACTTACGATATACATCTTCATTCGGAATATCACCATGAAGAGCTTGTTTGTACAGCCCGTATAATTTCATTTGCTCTCTTTCAGATGGCGTTGATTTGAGACGACGCATCTCTTCAGCGGCAATCTCGAAAGTGAGCCCAGTCCATTTCTAGAATGATTAGAACACCGTAAAACCACTATTAGAAGGGCTCTTCTATTTTTCCATCGAAAAATTCGACAAATTTTGGTTCAAAACTTATGAAAATCTGTCAATTTCAACAAAAGTGTTAAAACTAATTTTTGTGAAATTGAAGAATTTCTGGAACTTGTTTCACTGAAAACGTATGGAAATTTTAAATTTCAAACAACAATTTGTAAAGGGGACCCTTCTATTAGGTTGATGCAAAAGTTTCTTTCGATTTTGGTAAAATTTTTGATCATAAAATTTTTTGTCGAAGCGGAGCTGCTTAGATCAATGAAAGTTATGTTCATGAGCATCAATAGTTGTCTGCCAACACTCCGGTAATTTCTTGATTCCATCGGCCCAGAAGGACGAGGGCTGCAATTGAAAAAGTGGGTCAACTCCTTTTTGGGATCATCTTTTCAATTGAAGTCTTTTCTATCAAGATGACGTTTAAGAGCCTGAAACGAACATTCGTCCAAAAGGGCAAGGTCCAGAAAATACGGTGAGTGCAAAAGAATAGTTCATCCAAACGACACAAATTTTTGGCTGATCCATCTAATCACGGGAGATCTCGCATGGTCGCGCTGGAAGAACCCTTGACCTTTTATCCTTGGTTCGATTTGACTGTCAGATTCAATTTCTCTAATTATGAACTGTATATTGTGGTAGTTATATTGGTATATTCATCTAAAAGTTCCCAGTCTCCGCTTCTTTGGACAGACCACCAAACACATACCATCCCCATTTTCATAGGAAAATTAGGTTCCAGGACGTCCAGAGTTAGTTCTTCTTTGGCAACCATCTGATAAAAAATTGTCCAATCTGTCTCAAATCTCTAGGGAACGTGTGTCGTGAGTTGCTAACAAGTTGAGCGCACTATTTTCAAAACTCACAATCGGAACAAATATTTTCAACCATTGGAATACCCTCTATTGGTAAAGAGAAATAGTTTGCATAAAAAATGTGGTCTTGAGTTGCCAATTTTTGTAATTACTTTTTTAAGGAACTTATGAAACACATTTTCTGTAGTTCTGAGCCTGATAGAAGCATTTTCAGGTGAGTTACGTATCGATTTTACTAAAAAAAGACACAAAACTTTTGTTGCCGAAAATTGCCGAAAGTTGCCGAAATTGCCGAAATTTTTTTTCGGCAATTGCCGAGTTGCCGAACGTTGCCGAAAAGTATTCGGCAAATTGCCGAGTTGCCGAATTGCCGAAAAAATTTTGTTGCCGCACAGGCCTGGTCGAGATTCGTCTTCCGATTCTAAATTTTTGACTTCAAATCGATCGGTCCAGTGTTTGATGGTATTAACAACAAGAGATGTTCCTTCATTTATTTTTCATATTTTCCGATGAATACCAGAGTTTTTCAAACCAGGAAGGAATAAAAATAAAATGACATTTCGAAAGTGGAGACGGTGTAGGCTGAAAGAGAGCGTCATGCTAGCGAACGACCAGTATTAGGGATGAGGCAAAATGCTTATAACAAGTACATGAAATACTCTAACAAAAAAACATCCGCCAAGAAAAACCATTCTACTGACCAGATATCAGTTCTCAAAGTTAAAGGAGGAGAGACAGCAAAAATTTCGGGGGCAGTTCGGGGACGAAATCGCGCCGCGCTTATGTAGACCATCGGTCGTCATGTGCCTTCACGCCCCCGTAGCTCAGCCGGTAGCGGCGCTGTACCCCTGAGCTGCCTGTCATGAGTTCAACCCCTCATGGGGGTTCTCTATGCAAAATATCAGGAAAACTTTTTTTTGGTGTCTGGCCTCCTTTAATCATTCAAAATCGAAAGAAACTTTTGCATCAACCTAATATTATTAAAGGGGCATTTCTACAGGGTTTACAGTATCAGAAAAAATAACAACGAACCTTCTCAAGCTCTGAAATCGGCATTCTTGTCTTTAAACTTGCCTTTGAAAGACTCACAAACTGTATTTCTACATGTTTATATACGCTTTTCTAATTGCCTTGAATTTCGGAATATTCTAGAAATTGCATCTAATTTCAGTTGTTACTGTTCGATTTTGCCAATTTTCACTGTGTCTGTGAGCAATAAGCTCTTTTCATAATTGCATTCAATCAGCCAAACAATAATGTAGTAAAAATAATTTTATTTGTTAGAAAATTAGAATTAAAACCCTGAAAACGATGTTGGACATCTCCTAATGAGCCTGACATCTCCTAAAGACTTCAAGGCGGTGCTGTCGTTCGATTACTGAAATGATTATGGATTAATAAGTTGAAACTTGAGTGGGACGAGAGAGAAGAATCAGAAAGAGACAGATAAGATTAATAGAATCACACTAGAAGGGAGGAAATGGGAACACAAAATGGGAGAATCAAGAGATTGAAGAAGGCACTAAGAACGGTTAATAGAGATTGAAAATGAAAAGAAGAGTCAAGCGAAGAATCAAGATTGTGGCTTGTTTCAGAATTTCTATTTCTTCCTTACATCAAGTTACATGTCCCAAATTCAACCATCATTCTGAGCAAACCAAATAATGTCACGATTCGATAATACAGCAAAGTGGTTTGAAAAAATTATTTAAAAATAGTTTTCCAAGTATACGACATGAAAATTCGATGAGTTAGAAAATACAGTATGATCCTAGAAAATTGTCATGTTTTTTCGAACAAAAAATCACAATGTGGTACCTCCTTCTGCTTTTCCAAAAATAGGTAATTCTATTTGAGAAAGGGCTCAAATTAGAGGGTTTCGGCTCTTAGCTGAGCAGGAATATTCAAAAAACGACGAGCATTGATGGGAATTACTATAAAACCAACAGAAAAATCTCTGCAATAAGCATTGAGAAACTGCGCAGCCAGGGTGAGTGGGCTTCTATCAGAGAAAATACATTATTTGAAAGCTGCGCATTCTTAGCTTTCGAATAATATAGGTCTCATATCAAAGTTCCATACCCAACAATCCCTATTGTGTGAAGCTATAGTCAGAATAAAAAACGTTTCCCTTCACACGGGTTGACAGTTTTTAAAAATTTCCGACGATATTTACAACTGTAGCCAAACTATAGACTAACAGCTCACTCATTCCGGTAATGATATCATTACCGGTCTAATCGTAACCTCCTCTGACTGGTACGCGTCAACAAAAGGTATGCAGTTATCAGTCAAGAAATGTGACTCATATTTGACAGTAAAAGCAATAGTTCTTACGAAATTTTGAAGAAACGACATTACGTTCCTGATACCAAACAAACCGAAACTAAATAGAACAAAATATAGCTTAATGATTGAGCAAAGAAATCCCAATTCTCGAAGTTCAAACATCAACAAAATTCTTTTCCAGGAAATCACGATGTCTTGATTTGAGACAACCCGAAAAGGATCGAATAAATTCCGAGATTCTCAGAAAACGAGTATATTCGACTTTAGTATAAAACTAGACTGAAGATACTCTCCTAGAAACTAACCGAACTTGCAATCTTTATTTCTTCAATTTCTTTCTAGGAGTGAATCAGTCAGTTTCGACGTAATCCGGGACCCGTTCTAGCTCCAACAAAAAAAACATTTTTCAAATTTTAACATTTTTATTAAATTTTATATTTTCTTGTTTTTTTTGCTTTGCGTTTTTTTTGAATTTTGACTATATATATATATATATGGAGGGGAGATTAACCTGATCTTTGCCTATCAACCTAACCATATACCGTTTACAGGTGCATTATACGGGGCAGGGACAGCCGGGCCTGGGGGGAGAAATTTGACGATTATTACGACTTTCAAACACACACATTGTACTTTGCTTTTGGCATCGTTCCGTGAGTAGAAGACAACAAGAATAGGCAGAATCTCCCGTATACAGAAACGCACACGTATTTTGGATGGGCTTAAAACTCTGCACCGCCGAGACAGAAAAATAGAATATGACGACTAAACGGTCTAATATATGAAGGCAAAAAAATAATCGGGATCTAACTAGGGTTTCAACTACAATAATGACATCATCTCTTCTCCATTATTTACAGTACACTGGAGAGGAGATAACACCGAATTGAAGAGAAAACAAAGAAATCTCGATGATGTAGGAAAGTAGCGAAGAATTTGCAGGAATCAATAATAATAAGTCCCGATGAATCCATCTTCGTACGCCTCCTCCTCCTCATCTTGCTCCAAAAATGCAGTAAATATGGCACGGTAAACAGTGGGCCGTTGTCTTTCATATGATTCGCGCAGCGATCTTGCTTCTGTTGTTAGGCCTTCGCACTGAAAATTGAAAAGTTGATTAAAAGGATTCTGAAAACATTGATTTTGATTATGGGATATGTGGGAATATATAGATGAAAGAGGCCTAACCAAAATTTTTCACTGTTTGTGTGCAATATATTCAACACTTGTCGTCTCTTTAGCAAGAAACCCCACATTGGTTTCTCAATTATCTGGAATCGATGTTCTGGAATATTTAGAATTTTGCTAGGAATTAGCATAATGGGAAACTCACGAGGTAGACTGAACAAACGGTTTTCTCTAACCCTCTGGGACCATATTGGAATATCCATAGTATCAAAACTCGGGATGGTACTATAATCACGCCCAGTTACATTTTCATCTCTACTCCCATTCACTCCCAAGGAACTTTTCACTTGTTCAAAGTTTAGAACTTTGAACTTCAACTCACCATAATAGCCGTTTGGCTCTTCCCTGCGTGCAACTCTTCTCTCGCTCGTGTATATTTTTCGAGACGAGCTTTACTCTCGGCGATCTGTTGTTGGTGTTGCTTGTCAATCTATAGAAAATTAAACTTGAAAACCAGCTAGGTAAACTGTATTTCATTATTACTGAGGTCTTACAACCTCTAATAAAAAACTGAAACTTAAGCATAAATGATCTGAACACCTGTGGCATGTGGAAAACCGCAAAACTTTCAAATTTCAAAAAGTGTGTTCAGATCATAGCTTATTATGACCTATTTGAGCTGGAAACTACCTTCAACTTGACGAGTCGCATCTTCGCAGAAGAACTAGTAAACCGTTTGGCGTATTTCTTTCCGACTGTAATGTTGTTATTGAGCAGTTCTTGTCCGTTCGAACCTTACCATTGAAGATTTTGCGCGACGATCGCCGAAGAGAGCTCATAACAGACTTCCTACTTTTTGAGAAGCGACGAACACGAGGATTGTGTCCCGAAGAGTTCGTTGGGGTTGTTGCACCGCTGCTTGAGGCGGAGGAGGAGGCATAAGAGGAGGATGTTGAAGGGGTTGGAGAGCAGTGCCTGGAAGGGGCTTTCTCCGTGTACTCCACCACAATATCGAACATTTCTGCTGACATGGCTTCTTAGTACGATCCTGAAAATAATAATTAGTAATGGGTTAAACCCCCAGAATTAAAGCAATAAAGGTATAACAAACGTTGAAACGTAAGACAGATGATGACATATAAAAATAGTATAAAATTTTATAACTTTTTTTATTCTTTTAACAATTTTATGTCCAATAACAGCTTATACAAGTGAATAACTGAACGGGGGGAGAAATCAATATGGGAGAGGTAAAATTACAGTTAATAAAAACTCAAAAGAATCAAAAGAATGGGGTAGTGCGACGGTCAATCCATGGGATTCAATACTTGAAATTACTTTTTTTTAGATTTTCCAAATATTCGAATTTTTTTGGAGAACCTCGGAGTTCCGAAAAGGTTCCTTTATTAAGGGAATATGAGAAGGCTACCTTATTTCATTTTCCCGGTCCAATATTGAGTTGATCGCCACACTGTACAATGATGGGGGCGTGAAGGAAGAATACTGCAGTTGAAAAAAAGATAATTACAGTGTTATAAGCACTAGTAAAACTAACCATTTCCGCCTCATCACTGTGGATAGTGAGTCCCAGGCGTTGGAATAGGCGATCTACAAAACGACGAGATAATAAGTAGATAATGTTGTTGGGAAATGGGAGGGAATGCTACCTACACGTATGAGAACATGGGGGAAAAGTAATAGTTACCAAGGATCAACAGGTTCCGCCGAGGAATGAGTCGAAAACGGAGAAGTCGCCATTGAAAAGCTCCGTTGAATTGAGATCTTCGACAAGTTTGGTGTCCATGCGCTGTTGGTTATTGTCCGCGCACTGCTTGCACACTTCAACTGTGGTTCCAAGTGATCCGACATGGACGCAGACTCCTGCACGTGCTCCGAATCCCAACTGTGACGAGGATGACTGTCCCATTGTGGCGACAACTCGGGCGATTTGGGAATCCTGATCGATAACCTTCTTGAGTTGAGCAATCTCTTCTCGGGCATTGGTGAGAGCCGACTTCATCCTAGAATTCTCATCTCGAGCGAGTCTCAGCTCGGCCTCGAGTTCTGCGTTGCGCAGTTGCATCATTGACAATTCGTTCTTCTTCTGCTCACGGTAGTTGCGGGCATAGTTTGCCATCTTGCTGTTGCTGGTGGCCTTCGATGGACGTCCACGCTTGGAGTTTGGACTCTGAAAAATGAGAAATTAGAATCTTTGCATTTAGGAATCAAAAATTGGGGTTCCTAGGGGGGAAACTTATTTGTAAACTTAATTACTTCGCTTCTATACATGTGAACACTGTTTCCGCGAGATCTGGTATTACTCGGCTCCTGAAATGTGATTCATAAGTACTTGTCATTAAGGGAAGTTCACTCACTTACCAGACATGGTGTGGAAGAAATCTCACAAGAATTACTAGAACCTGATCGTTTATCAACTGTTATATCGAAATTCTCTTAACTTAGGCTAATAATCTTTGTGGTTTTGTCAGAAACTGAACAGACTACAGTTCAAATTTGTGAGATTTCTACCACCTTGTGAAAGAAAAATGATAAATATCTTACCTTAATAAGAGGTCCGCTGCAGTATGGATTAAAGCTTGAAGTTGGAGCACGCTTGGTGGTGGGCATTTTCATTGGCTTCGAATGGTGCATGTAAGCTGGTGGAGACGTAATCTGGTCCTCGGATTCTGATGGAGAGAGATGCCAGGTTGGCTCGACTTTAGGCTCGGTCAAGAAGACGGGCTCCTCATCCTCGTGCTGAAGCGATGAGCTCGGGGACTCACCACCAAAGTCATAGTTGTACTCCATAAATAATTCGCGCTCGTACGAGGCGTTGTGGAAAATCACTGGATCCTGACTGGAAACGAGCGGATATTGGCCCGGGTTTTCGTCCAATAGAGAGAGCAACTGCTCCTCTTCGGAGCTGAAAGTCTTGGTTCCGATCATTCTGATTTCTTTGAAAAGGGGGTTGGGTTTCGAGAAAGCAACACAAAAGTTCAAAATGAGAGAATATTATTGGAATAGAAATTCGAGATAATTCAAAAGTTATTCAGAAATTCACCAAAAATACCAACTCTTACTGGGTTTCACAAGAATTCTTGCAAGAATGACCGTGCGAAAGGGAGAGGGAGGAACCAAGTAACGAGGGAGGTCTTCGAAATGTTTCGAAAATAGATCGCGTTGCGTGTCGCGTCGCGGTTGCTCTCCTCGTTTCCCGCACTCTCTCGTCACTGTCTCCACTTCACTATTTTTCTTCTCCGCGGAGCGCTTATTGAATTCCTGCGCCCTCTCCGCGTTTACAGTCTCTCGCCGACTCCGATCGAAAACTAAAAAATTTGAAAACCAATCACAATTTCTAGATTTTCCAGCCAACTTCGTTAGAATCTTCAAAATGAGGAGTTCAAAAGGGGGAAGAGGGCGCCAAGCAGCACCAAAAGAAGCCCAGACAAGTGTCTGTTACTGGTACGAAGAGCAAATCGAATCGAGTCTCAAAAAATTGTATTTTCAGTGACGGAACTCGAGAGCTCGGTTCTGTAGAAGTTTTCTGCTCACAATGCTTGAAGTGGTTCCACGGACGATGTTTGAAAGAATATAACGAACTGTAAGTCGCTCGCCAGAGGTATTTACTGCAACAATCCAAAAGTTATAGTAAACAAAGTGGAGTTCCGTTCATGATCTGCTACAGCTTCACCTGCAAACAATGCCGTCCGTTGGCTGAGGAATGGAAAGCCAAAAAAGCGGATTTGGTTCACATGTGTGTTACAGTTTTTGCGACGTTATCCGCCGAGCAATTGAAAGAAAACGGAAAACTATCCGCTGATGCCGTTCCTCAAGATCACACTTATTTAAGCTTACAAGATACGGTTATCCCTTATATGGACAAAAACTGGTACATGCTCACTTCGCTGAAGCAGCGGAAGGATTGGCAAGCCACGCTAGGACCCACGCTGCTTAAAGAGAAGAACATGTTTGTGGTGAGTACTGTAGATAGGGAAACAACGATATTTTTTGTGTTTTCAGCAACACGATGACGATGATGATCTTTTTGCTTTAGCTGAGAAGAACCTAGCACTTCTAGGCCCAATGCACGAAGCAGTAAAACAGGTACGTCAGCAATTAATTAAAACCTTTGTATTTATATTTTTGAAGATGGGAAAGCGTCAAGCACCAGAGCGAGAGAATCGGGAGCCTCGAGAACTGCCACCAATCGAAGGTCCGAAAACTCGTGGCGCTTCTAAACGACGACATGCGGAAACGCCGGTTCCTGGAAAGAAACAGAAAATGTGAGTTTTAACTCTTTGAACAAAAAAGATTTCAACGAATCGGAAGGACTTCCAGAGCTGCCGAATACACATCGACTGCGACGCCCGACGGTGCTCAAGTCGATATTCCATACTGTAAAGATGGCTATCGTTATTTTCTGACTGAAAAGGACCCAAATGTACCAGATGAGTTAGTTTATCTTTTTTATTTTACATTCCTAATTTTAAATCTTCAGTCCGAATTGGAATCCGAACAATCCAACTGCCTACGTCATTCCCAGCTATTCACACCGCGTTCTTAACAGCGAAACTATGCATTTGTCAGCTAACGATAGAGCGTATCAGCTTTCTATCGTTGGTAATACCATCACAGGTTTCGAGGGCTATGCAATGGCTCGCGCTAGTCATGGAGTTTCGAAAGGAACGTGGTATTTTGAAGTGAATTTCGATGAACAGCCAGAAGATTCTCATATTCGGATTGGATGGAGTCAGTTTCTAGGTGAGATTTGCCAAATTAAATTAGTAAAATAATCTATTGTTCAGCTCCAATACAAGCTTGTGTGGGTTATAACAAGTTTTCTTATGGCTGGAGATCGAAACATGGTACGAAATTCCATGATGCCAAGGGCAAAAAGTATTATACAGGCGGATTTAAGGTAAAAATCAAAATCTTGAAAAATCGCTTCTCGTCCATTTCTGGAAAATTTACTGTAGACTACTGTAGATCACTGTAGATTACTGTTTTTTGCAACCACAATTACGTCAAAATGCAGATTAATTTTATCTACATTAATCTTCCGGAACACCATCCAGTCAAATTTCAGACAAAAAAACTGGGAAAAAATCGAAAAAAAATCGTCAAAAATAGCTGAAAAACATAAAAAGGTCTGAAAATTTTGCAATAAAACAAAGAAAATGTAAGTGTTTTCACTCGAGAACTCGCTTTGAATAATGAATTTTCGAATTTCTGAGCTCGCATTTTGATACCACTGTATTTTCCGGTTCCGGTCTATCCAATAAATTTAATTTTGGGAGCTCAATCGCAAATCAAAACTCAATTTTCCCGATAAATTACGTTCGACTGATTAGCTATTATTCTTTTTTTTTCAGCGAGGCGACACTCTGGGTTGTCTAATCCATTTCCCGATCGACAAAAAGACATTGCTTCCACCGAATCAGCCATCGGAAACCTACCTTCCACCGTCCTATAAAAATGGAACATTAATAAATTTCAAGTCCAATATATTCTTGGAAATCCATGAAGACGCAGCCAAATTACCAAAGACCTACAAGAAGTGTCTGGTAGCTATGTAAACCACACAATTTTTCTCATTCAAAATTCGAATTAAAAAATTTTCAGATCGAATTCTTCCATAACGGAAAATCGTGTGGAAAAGCGTACGAAAATATCTACAGAGGCAACTATTTTCCATCGGTGTCCATTTTTAAGAGTAAGTTTCTAATGAGATCGACGAGGGAAAAAATTAATATCAAATAATTTTTAGATGCTACGATCACACTGAATCTCGGACCAAAGTACAAACATCTGCCGCCGGGAGCCTCGTCTATTCACTTGAGAGCCCAGGAAATTCAATGCGAACAGGCGTTGTCGGACATGCTATATTTGGTATCAAACGATGAAGTAGTTCTGAATTACCCTGCTGTCAAGAAAGAAATCAAGGAAGAGGACATGGAGTAATTAGACCGAATCTCCGCTGTCACTTTATCTCATTGTTTTGCTCTTTGCCTAGTTTCCGTGTATATTTTTTGAAAATTTGAATAATCCGTATATCCTGTAAGTATGACAATAAACAATGTTATTTCATTAGAATGAGTTTCATATGTTGGTCGACTCTCATCCCGATAATACCATTTCTTTTGTACTTTTTTTGTCAATTCCCATTTTCCCAATTATTCTGTTACAAAAAAACTAAAGCTGTGGAAGAGAAACGAAAAACACGGTAACCTAAAAATTTAGCGATTTTTCGAGAGAAAATTTTTTTTTTCTCCGATTTTTCGCAAAAAATTTTAGACCTTTTTTGGTTTTTCAGCTATTTTTGAAGATTCTTTTTCGATTTTTCCGGGTTTTTGGTATGAAATTTGATGGAACGTTGTTGGATTCTGATGTACTGTAGATACTGTACAAAGCTATTTTCCTTTTGTTTTTTTTGCAAATTCTTGTCTGCATCTTGACGTGATTTTGCTTGCGAAAAAAACTACAAACTACAAGATTTTCTACAGTAATCTACAATAATCTTCCGTCAAGAACACCATCCCCCGTCTAATTTCAGACAGAAAAATTCGGAAAAATCGAAAAAGAATCTTCAAAAATAGCTGAAAATCCTAGAAAAATCTAAAAATTTTGCCAAAAATCAATATCTTTCTCTATTTTCGTGCATCAAAAACTTAAAAATTCGGACTTTTTCTGGGGAAAATATCTGAAAACTAGACGAAAATCAGTGAGAATCGAGAAAATGAAGTCGGAAAATAAACATTTTAGGTTACTGTAGTTGTGGGACCTTCAGCCACGGCCACCGGCGCTTCCGCCGCTCCAGAATAATAAAATACTATTTTTTTAAAATTTACAGATGGTCTATGTTAAAACCCTGCTTCGCCGCGCCGACAACTTCATGTACATCGTCAAAAAGAATGCCGGGGCGCGCAAGGCGTTTTTGGTTGATCTAGTGAACGAAGAGAATTATCAGGAGCTGGCCGAACATGAGAATGTAGGCGAAAATTGAGGCTCCGAGAGCTAAATTACCGTGAAAAGTGGGCGGAGTCTAAATTGAACGCTGCTAACGGTTTAAAAAAAAACTGCGACAAAACAGTGCGAAGCCTGCAATTTAGGCTCTGCCCACTTCTCGAAATTTGAGGAGCCTCAGAAAATGATATTTCGAATGCCTAATTTTCCAACTTTCAGCTTGAAATCACCGCAGTGCTCACCACACATCACCACTATGATCATTGTGGTGGAAACGAAGGATTTCGCCGCCAATTCCCAAATATTCCGATATTCGGAGGAGATGAGAGAGTTCCAGCTATGGATCATGCTCTTAAGCATAACCAGGAAATTGAAATCGCCGATTTGAAGGTACCGTATTTCCTCTAACAGAAGCTCATGGGCTTCTATTTTTCAATGATTTATTTTAACATATTCAGAAATTTGACAATTCGGAAGTTATGAATAAATTAAATTCAGCATTTTTGAGAATTCGAAATTTTCATTCTGCAATTCTAAATTCCGAAATCATGAAATTCTGAGATTCCAGGATCTCGAATTAAAATTCAGGAATTCTGAAATGCCGAAAAAAATTCTAAAATTCTTAAAATCTGAAACTTCGGAATTTAGAAATCAGAAAATTGAGACATTGTCGAGTTCTAATCACAGTTTCAAAAATTCTAGAATTTTGAATTACCGTATTTTCTCTAATAGAAGCCATATTAGAGGGTGGACTTCTATTAGAGGAAATACGGTATATGAGCTATAGATAAAAATATAACAAGTAGTGATTTTCAAAAGTTTTAATTTTGGGAAAAATATTCAGAAAGAGTTACTGTTTATTCAATAAAACGT